TTCGTATCGAAGCTTGTGTGTTTATTGTAGGGAATCATCATCTAATTTTTTTTATTGCCTCTTGATTAGTGAAACATATCGGAACATGAACTCCACAATTTCTAGGTTGCAATAGATAAAGATATATGGAGTAGTAATTCCAAGTATTACGAGACATTCAGAATTTTAAACTTTGACATTTTTTGGGGACAGGTGGAGTAATAAATTTTGTATGACCAATCTACGTAGTGGGGTACCCCAGTCATGCTTGGAGTACATTACTTTTGAGACCATCCTTCTGACAGACATTCACCGCCATAGAACAATGCCAAATGTCTGCAATGTCGGGTAGAAGGGTGGTGTCAAAAGTGGTGTAAAAAATGGTTTGCATATAGCATTTTTCTTGCATTTATAGTACTCCGTAGTAAATTAGTAACCAAAAGCAGAGTTGGGCAAGAAGTATTCATTCATAGAGTCCACAGGGAGGAGTAACCAACCTGGCGGGCAACCTGTGCCATTCTCCTACTATCTCGAGATGATTCTGCGGGCCATTTTGGCTGTTGATCCTTGGAAACAACAATTTGGTTCTCCTCTTCATTCTTCATCACCTCAATGCAATTCTTGTGTACAGAATCAGCAGCAGCAGCATTATCGCCCCGTTTCCTCTTCCTCTGGAACGTGTATTTGAAAGTTCGGTTTTCATCTTTGGGAGCAGCAACATCACATACCTTTGAACTCTGCAGCAGAGCCACAACAGCGTCTTCCACATCTGACTTGTTATGAACCGTGATCCCTGAACTCCCTGTGGACCCCGTTTCCAGTACTGCAGCAAGCACGTTGGCTTCTACCAATCCTTCATGCTCAGAAACTGCTTTCTCAACCCCACGAGACTCACGCTGGGAGTCATCTCTATTCGGCGATGATATTGGTGTCACCTCAGAAGAGTCCTTACCTGGAACTGGAAGGTTTCCTTCTAAAGGAGCTCTATGTTTTCTCTGTCTACCTTCTATTTTTCTTTTCCTGTGAGAAGAAGATTTTAAGAAAGCCGCCAATTTGTCTTCTTTCTTCCCATCATCATCATCATCAAAAGAAGAAGAGAAGTTGTTATTAATTTGCCCCTCATCCGTCTTCATTGGAAAGAGAGGAGCAGGAGGATGGTTTCCACCCAAAGATACTCTACTTTTTGCACATCTTTTTGCCCTTCTTTTCTTCCTCTGAAATGAACCGGAAAAGACAAAACTTCCTGCTTCTTTCGCTACTTTGTTATCAGCAGCATCAGGTACTGCAGAGACTTCTTTACTATCATCGCTGGCGTTTCTTCCATCACTTTCAGGTTTCACTTCTTCAGATTTTCTCTGTGAAATCAACTGTTTCTTGCCTAACATGTTTCCTTCACATGCGCGGATTCTTTGAGTGCATCCGTTCCGGTAAAGCTCTGGTTCTTTGCTCCTCAAAATTATAGAAGGCAGTAGGTCAGGGTGTGAGAGATAAGAGCTTCCCGTTTGATGAAGTCCCCTACTACATGACTTCAATCCCTCGCTTCTCGCGCTCGAATTCATGATCCTGATGTCAGAAACTTCCACGTGTACATCATGAAGGTCTGATGCACAAAATGCACTCTCTCTGCTTTCTTTGTTGATCTTCATTCTCTCCAGCACATCATGGGCTTCTCTCAACTCTCCTCTAAGATCACTCACAATATCCTCGGCCTCATGAAGTTGTGCTTCAAGTTCGTCAATCTTTCTCTGCTGATTCAAGCGTGTTGTCTCTGCTTCACTAATCTGTCATTTAAGTTTGGCATGCTCTAGATCAGTACAATTACTAATTCAACAAGAGCAAGCTGGATATAGAATAACAGGTCTCGCCAAGATAAATACTTCTCAAAAATTAATAATCAGAAAATAAAACAAATGTGTTGCAGCGAACAATTAAAAATCATAAGACACAGAAATAGAATAATATACAACTATACTGTGATAGCTGTGGAAGTTGCATCACTTGCATGAGCTTCTAGAAACCATGACATAAATACCTCACCTCCATTACCAAGTATACAGCAATTTTATTGTAATAGTTACTTATACCGCTTACTATGAGTACAGATATGAGATCAAATTAAAGTGTTGCATTCCAAAAGTTCATATTATGACACTTAGCATCTACAGATATCCAAACCTATATAGTAAATATATATAAAAACTGAATATTTGAATCCTGCTGTTGGAAGAAAAAATATGTTCCATTCCTATCATTTGAAGTATTCACATCCCTTGTTGGAAATCTAAATAAGGTGTAACAATCAGACTATATAAGAATAACCAAATTATGAAAATAATCTATGAAGCAGATACCAAAACTTGACAACAAGCTCCTCCAAAGAACATAGAAAAGCATATACAGAGCATTATATTGCGATTTGCAACAACAACCAGAGTTTCAGAACTGAGATTTTCATATACACAATGGAGTATTAGAGATCCAATGATATATTCTGACCCGAAACAGGTTTGTTCAAGTCCTTTAGAAAAATTTTCAACCCAAGAGACACAGATTAAATATATAAAGCAACTGCATAAGAATGATGCAAGTTGTGATTATATGACTGATGGCCATAAGAGTCAAGAACGAACAGCTATATCATATATTCCGTATGTGATGTTCATAGTGTGATACAAATAGATACTAGAAAGAACACACACGGTAAAGTGTTGTCTCAAGACATTGCTGCTTCTATATTGTTCAACATAGGCATTCCAAACATGAAAAAGAGAGTGGCTTGCAGCCTTCAATGACCTACAAGATTCTAAAATTCGCATTTTCATTGATTAAAAAAGACAGGGAAAAGATCTGCAATGCAATTTTCCACTACCATTATAGGAAGTGCATTAATACCGCCATTAGTATTGTTCAGTTATACCAGCATTCATTTTTTTTAAAATAACCAAAGGAAAATTTGATGCAAAAGGTCATTTTTTTTCTTGGACTCAAAACATCCTAGTAGATGTAAACAATCACATAGCCCAATCAGAAATGCAAAAACAAACACATGAATTGTCAATCAATCCGAACGAGAACACGAAGACACAAATTGACACTCTAAATTCAAGAACTGCAGGAGCAGTGGAACGAGGGACTACATTTGATAATCATAAAAATGGCAAAAACTGACCAAAAGTAGACAGATTTCAGCGAAATCCAAACCCATTGCAATAAAATTAGGGGAAAGAGAAAAAAAACCTCACCTTTGAATCCATAATCTGCTTAATCCTGAGCATCGTCCGGAGTGCATCTTCTTTAACTACCTGCAGCTCGTGTTGAAGTCTAAGGGCTTTCCGCTCGGAAGCCATAATCCTCGCAGCCGCCTCCTTCGAGGTGTTCAGAATGATATCAGCATAGGCCTTTTTCAAAGCTGTCAATCTCTGCAAACCCAAAACTACTGATAATCAGTTCTGAAAAAATACTCCGTAAAAGGTAAAGAAAACAAAGAAAAGGGCAATCGCAGCGAGCACTTAAAGACCCGAAATTTCTTTTCAAAGAAAACGTAAAAACACGATCATAGTCGATCCCCATTCTTTTCTTTTCTTTATTGAAGATACAAGAAGTGGTGGGTTATCGGATGTTCTAGTGGCGGTTGCGCCGGCGATCATAACGCCGGTATAAAGGTGCGGGACATTACCTCGTCGTCGGTACCCATTTTCGGCAACCTAAAAAAGCCTGTTTTAAGGTTTTCGTGTTTCCGACCAAAGCTGTGGAGATAGAGAGAGAGTGGCGAGAAGAGGGAGGTTTGGAAAGGGTGGTTTTTTTCCTCCTCGGTAGCTGTCTGTTATGAACTGAAAGTTCTGTCTAATGTCGAAATTACATTATTACCCCTGGAATTGTCCTGAAACTACACGACTACCCCGGTCAACGACGAACGTTGACTCGCCTCTGCGGTTTTCAATATAGGGGTTCAGCTTTTTACACTTTTGCCCTCTGTATATAAGCAGGCTTGAATTTGGTACATTAATTACTCCGTACTTAGGACCACTTTGGAAATAATGTCTTTGATTAGTGTTACTAAATAAAATTTTAATGGTGCAGATTATTTTCGAAAATGTTAGCCTAAAGGCTATCCATAGATAACTTTTTCAAAATCTTAGCGCTAACTTTTAATCATATTTCAAAACAGACTCTTAATATCTTTTTCTATAGTTTGAGAAATTACATTTGCATCCCAAATTTTCTATTGACATTCTCAAATATATTACTCACTCCTTTTATATGAATAATATTGTTAGACAATAATACTAATATTACTTTTGGTAGTATTGGGTATGGTAGTGTTTGATTATTAGTCAGCTTCATATTCCTATTTACAATAAATGTTACGGAGTATATTTTAGTTAGTCTGCATTCTTTATTCCTAGTTGTGTTAGAAGTTTCTTCTATATACTAGTATATACTCTATCATGTATTTTATAATTCAAAGAACAATATTATAATTCCTAATATTTTAACAAGTATATTCTTGACCATTGCGTGTTTTAATTGAAACAAATTAAGAAATTTGAAATATATTAAAAACGAAGTGGTGTATTTGTTGATATAAAAAATAATTAATTTTTTGTACTCATATTAAATGATTTAGTTATATGTTTCTGATATAATTTAGGAGATTTGTCTAAACTCGATTTAATATTTATTGAGTAGCTATTTTTTTATGTTTTGTCAAAAATTTGAGTTTGGAGTCTAATTTATTGCTAATGTTATTGTTTGAAAGTACTTAAAATAAGTTTTTTTAAAAAAATATTAAATTAAATTTCAAAATATTTTCTTTACTCAAAAAAAGATTTTTATACTTTCTTCAAATGGATAAAAGAAAATATTGAAAAAAATTCAAAGATATGAATGCTGAAAATTGAGGAATTAAAATGCACGTATTATTTTTTCGAAAGGAAAAAAGGCAAAAAAATCACTAAAAAATACTACTCATATTTTTAGAATCCAAGGAGCTAAAAGTAAATTTCGAAATACAATGGTGACCCCCCATTTTAGTCACATGGGCATTATTTTCATTTTTTCTCCTGAGGCTCTCCGATCAGCAGCAGCAATCATGAACAGCAGGACTCTCTCGTTCTCACTTCGCGCGGTGCACAACATCCCGGCCGCCGGCGACCTGTGAACGGTGCCGGTAACCTCCCAGAAAAGAAAAGATCGAGTAGAATAAGATTGGCGCTCTGATTTCGTGGAGGAACTAATCAAGAAAAAAGGAGTGGTAGCACTCTCCCGGGCAGAAGATTTCAACTGTAATCTGTACATTATCTGTTCGAACTGGACTGTAGACGAACAATCTGCTGATCGGCTCCGGAGAAAGAGGCTTTAGGGGAGGCGAACCCTGGGATTTCCCGACTGTTGACCGCCTTGACTGCGCGTCGATCTCAGCCCAAGCGATCGATGAACTGCCGATCTATTGGCTCCATCGCTTTAAGCGAAACCGAGAGAAATGTCTAGTATTTTAGAGCGTCTCCGATGGATTATTGCTGGTCTGAACAGACCAATTGCGACGCCTAAGAGATTGAATAGTGGTGGTGAAGACAGAGTGGCGCCATTTTCACAACAGCAGCAATCCCAAGTAGTCAAGTCTAATGAAAATTCCGTATCGAACCACAGGAATTCAAGACCAATGTTGGATGCTGTGTGTGAGATTGCCGTGTACATTCACAGGTTTCACAATCTGGACCTGTTCCAGCAAGGGTATGGCTGCTGTCACTTGCTCTACCTTATGTCTTTTTACCATATCACATCGAAAATAATTCTTGGGTGGGTGTGTGTTCGGTTTATTTGCAGATGGTACCAGATTAAGATTACAATGAGATGGGATGATGATGATGATTATGATTCTGTTGGAACTCCATCAAGAGTTGTTCAGTATGAAGGTAATTCAAATGGGCATATCTTGTCTGCAACTATGAACTCAACAACCTTGATGATGCAAGTCGGAAGCTTTTAACTTTTTTAATAGGAAATGACTTGGTTTTATCATTTTCATTTTATGAATCAAATTTTGAACTACTTGGAGGTCATACATCTCTGAAGCAAAGCTGTTTTCTGTCAAATACGGAGTTATACTCAGTGGCAATGCTCCAATTGCATATTAAAACTTTTCGACAGTTAATTAACAATGATACACTCTTTTATGCTTGTATAAATTTCTCCAATATTGGTACTTTGGTACTTGGTCTTTATGCTTATCTGCGTGCTTTTGATAAATAGATATGGATGTGTGTGTACTCACACAGACCATACATCTCACAAATATATTTTTTGGAATTAGAGTAGATGGTATTTAATGGGCTTATTTTTTTAAATGGACTATGAGCGCTTTGTCAAATCTTTGTTTTGGATGCAGCTCCTGATATGGGCTCTGACAATGTATGTGGAGTGTGGATGATTGATGACACAGACAACAGTTACTTCACACAACCTTTCAGGATCAAATATGCAAGGCAGGATATCCTTCTCTCGGTGTTGGTCTCGTTTAATTTATCTCTCAGTAAATATGAGGTAGTTTTCTCCTCTTGTAGCGTATAACTGTCGATCCTTCTATCACTTGTAGAAATCTTCCATCAGATTATAAATTTGTATGTTTCTTCTCATTTCACATGGATCCTTGAAGTCTGAATAGGGGACTATAATACTTTTTTTGGTTCAAGGAATTTCAAAGGGAAAAGAAAAGAAAATGAAGTGGAAAATAGATTTTCTTGTTTGGTTAGAGAGAAAAAGAAAGGAAAAGTGGAAGGAAAAGAAAATGAGAAGGCAAATGTACTAAGTGGAGGGAAAACCAAATTCCTCCCATTTTGGTGAAGAAAATGAGAGAAAATCATTCTCTTCTTTCCCTTCCTAATTCCTTGAACCAAACGTAGTGTAAGGGAAAAGATATAATCTAAGAACCAATAATGCTACTCACCTTGGGCTGGTTGTCTGCATGAAAATAAAAGCAATACTACTCTGTATTTTTTATGTACGAAATTTTCTTTTTGATGATTAAAATTAAGGCGTGAGTTAAATTATTTTCTATGAACAATAAGTTGGAGTCTTAGTACTGGGCAAATGTAGTTTGGATTTTGGCTTGAAAATGAAATGGCCATTCTGTGGCCCAAAAAACCCGGAGGGATGTGTAGAAGAGTACATAGCGAATTTCAAGTGCTTTATATACTACTCCATATTATGCTTATGCAGTGCTATGATTATTTCTACATTCATATCTTGTCACCTAATGGTTCCTTCACAATAACAGGGCTCATGTTCTTCTGCCATTATTCTGAAATTTGAGCTTTTTTATGCAACTGTGTTGGACAACAGGTCAGTTTGCTTGATAGAATATTGTTTAGTGACTCTTCTCCATTTTTGGTTAAAAAACTTTTCTTTTGTTATCTTGGCATTGAATTCAAAATTGTATTCGGAAATTTCACAGCTCAAAAATGTTTTGACATCAGTTACAGGTCTGATTTGCACGCCCCATTAGGCGCAAAACCTGTAGCAGTCCATGAATTTCGAATTCCTCCTAAGGCTCTTCTGGGTCTGCACTCTTATTGCCCTGTGCATTTTGATTCTTTCCATGCTGTACTTGTTGATGCAAGTATACATATATGTTTATTGAAACGCGGTGTCCACACCCTTTCATCAAAGGTAGCAAGGTTTGTCACAGGTTCCACTTACTCAAGTAGTCAAGTTGAAGTTGTTCAATTAGATTATTAGAATAAAGCTGCCACTAAAATTTGAGGCTCCATCATTTTATAGTTTGAATATTTGATTGGCAACTACATTCTGCAAAGAATTGAATTCATGCAAATAACTTCTACATTTGGTCTTTCTTCTGCTTCTTGCACAGTGAAGTTGCTTCAAGTGAAGACTATGACAGAGCAAAGCAAGTAGGTTCTATCCATGAACTTATATATTTATATAGCTTTCATGGTTAAACTTACATGCACCTTATATAAATGTCACATGTTTGATAATAAAGGGATATGAAAAGATAATAAAGGGTTATGAAAAGTTGGCCACTGCTTTGTACTGCCATGTTGTTCTCAGCATTTGCTCAAACACTTTCATCATTTATTCATTATCAAGTAAACAATGCATTTGTGGGATTAAGACAAAGCATTGATTAATAATAATGACCTTTTTCTGATTTATGCATTTGGATACATACATATGTACTAGGATTTGCAAGCTATAAATTTTATTGATCTACTCCCTCCATCCCAATTCCAAAATTAAAAGTCCACTTTGACTGGCCAGAGTTTAAGAAAAGTTTTGATAAGTGAAAAATGTGTGGATGGAATTGATTTGAAAGAGAAAAATGATCATGGCCACATATTTCTTATAGAAAAGAAAATGAACTTTTATTTGGGGGGTCTTGTTTCAGAAACTTTGCATTATAGCAAACCTGTACTCTGTAAAATAAGAATCTTATGCAATATACCTATCAGTAAATCTTCTAAAGTTCACTTGGACCAGGTTCTGCTTGTAAAAGGATTTATAACTGCTCGTGCCAGATTGCTTGAAGAGCTAAAGAAAGTTAGCATGGCTATTCATCAAGCTATTGATATAAATGATTTTTCTTGTAAGCATGAGGATAAAGAATTGTTCAGTTCGAACCAAAACTGCGTTTCGTCTGCAGAAAATGATCAAGTTTCACAACAAATATCAAGCCGAAAGCAGAACACTTCACAGGTTTACGTCATAGTTATGCATGCTTTTGTGGTTTTTCCTGGGGATTTGTTCTCGTTGTTATTATCTTAATTTGGCATTTGCTGCCAGCAGAAACAAAATGGTTTGATTAATTTACAAAGTGAAGAAGTTCTTCATTCTCTATCCAATGATGAGCTAGTGGGCATGTTTCATTCTTTTGGCAACCAAGTATTTTACTTATGGAGTATATTCCTGAAGTTTCACAGGTTTGCTTTCACTTATCACATTCAATAGACATACGCTTCCCTCGCAATACTGCTGCATTAAGTTTTAAGAGTAAAAACGTTGCATTTTCGAATAAGGTTAAAAGGAGAGGAGTCAGAGGATTACCAAAACCTAATGCTAAGCTTAAAAGGGAAAATATGCATTTCTCTCATTTTTTGCTGATGAGTGGTGAGGATACTATGAACTTGTGTTGCATTAGAGGGAAATAGCATTGAGGTAAAGCAAGATTAAAGAAGACACATGCAACATTTACTCACATTTATAGTTTATGTTTAATGAACTTTGTCATGCAACTCAATCTGTAATTCAGTTATTTTCATTCTTGACTCTTAATTAATGACTCAAAATGTGGAAGCCAAAGTCTCAAATCTATACTTCTTTTGTTGATATGGTGCCAAAACAATCATTTCTGCACGTACATTATAGATTCATTTTCATACCCCCCCCCCCCTCCTAAAAAAGGANAAAAAAGGAAAAAAGAAAGATCTGATTTTGTATTATGTTATTAAATCTCTTGTTAATGTTATGAATCTTTGGGGGCATGAAGAAACAGAAAAGCTATTTCGGAGTATCATGTAGTGAAAAATGTAAACCCGGAAATTTCAAGTTTATCTTACTCGCATAGTCGCATCACTGCCCACCATTTGACTTGAATGTATATGTATGAGCTTTAGAAGGACTGGACCATGACTTTCACCATCAAAACTCCAAAGCTTTAGAACATCAAGTGCACCCAAAAGACTAACACGTTGTTGATGTAGATTTAGTTACTTGATATGCATGCTATTCAGATAACAGAACTGTGGGGTGAAAACAAACACAACCCAATATAATCAACTCCGTTGGGGTCTGGGGTTCAAGATGTATGCAATCTTACCCCTGTAAAAATAGAGATGCTATTTTCTTTAGATTCTTGATGCATTAATGCATTTACTACCTAAAACGTCATATATAGAATGAGAGAATAAAGCTGACAATTGCAAAAAAGTTGAGTTATGAGTTACTTATATATGTGGAGTTTGAGTGCTGATGTGTTCTCTATAGAAAATTGCTTTCTTACCAGCCGTGGTGGCGGTGGTGCAGCGGTGCAGCCACAATAATCAAAATGTTCAATTGAACTCAAACCACCTGGCCTGATCAAATCTCTAAAGTTATTGTGTTGAGATGAATTCTCTGTTTTGGTGTCTTCCGCAGGGACTGTGCTTTTTAAATTTAATTTTCTTAATTTATGTCTAGGGTTCACAGAACACCAATTTTGGATTTCCTTCAAAGTCAATGGACTATTGATCGAAGAGCTGAATGGTCAATATGGATGGTTTATTCTAAAGTTGAGATGCCTCATCAATATATAAGTAGTGAGGTTGATAGTTCTTCCTACCATGGCACTTCTGGGAGACCCCCTATTTCTCGGAAGCTCGCTGAGGATGTAATTGGAGTTTAAGCTTTGATTTACAGCTTGTTATATCTATACTCATATCCTTACTTGGTGTTAAAAATTTTCATAATGCTAAGTATTTTTTGTACTCTAAGCAGCCTGCCCAAACTGCAGCTATGCGTGCTGAGCTTCACCGGCAGAGTATTGCACAAATGAGAGTGAGTTCTGTCTTTGTAAGAAATAATGGTGCCTCCGATCTCTTCATTAGCTTGATAGTTTAAAGAAGAATTGGTTTGTTACAGATAAATAATTGTTCAATCCAAGACTTGCAAATTTTTGGAGATCCATCACGCATTCCAATTGTGATGGTAGAACATGTTGTAAATGCCCCATTGCGCTCAACTAGTAGAAATTCATACTTTAACCATCTGGAGCAAAAAGATGCAACTATATTTACTCCAGAGTTGATTGACTCTATAGCTATAAAGAAGTCATCTGATGAAAACCCTCAACAAATTGGACGGGATCTAAAACTTGTAGTCTTCGTCCATGGATTTCAGGCATGCAAGCAACATCTTCCGTTTACAGAATACTTTATTTTTTCTTTCTTGACCAGTTTGTTATGTTTGGAAATCCCCCACCCCCCACCCCCACCCCCCGAAAAAGCTTCTGAAATAAACAGTTTAGTTCATCTTAAATCTGTGTAATTTTAAAAACTAAGCGGACTACATTGTTCTGGTAAGTAGTCATAGCATTGCTAGCTTTTAACTTTATCTTCCAAATATATGCTACTCCTTACATCCCACTATTTTGTCCCTTTTACCTTATTTGTCCCATACCGTACTCCCCCCGTCCCAAAATAAACTTCTCACTTTCCTTTTTTGGGTTGTCCCATAATAAACTTCTCATTTCTTCTAAGGAATGGATTGGGTGACTCACATTAATTCTCTCCCCTCTTTGTAAATCTCAACCAAACATTTTTACTCTTTTTAATCCCTGTGAAAGTCAAATTGAGAACTTTAATTTGGGACAGATGGAGTATTTAATAGCATTTGTATGGTTCACATTAGTTCTTACTTTTTTTTATTTTTTAACATCAATATCAATCACAAAATTTCACTTTTTAATATTTGTGTGCAAGTATCTGATGTCTCAAAAATCAAAAATAGTGCAATGGAGGGAGTATATGTTTTCAAATATGTAATATTAGGATATATTGTTGTTGTTATTGTTAGTGTTAGCATTAATTTCAAATGCAGATGACCTTTTATGACAACATACCATGAGCAGGGGCATCATTTAGACTTGCGACTCGTAAGGAATCAATGGCTTTTGATAGATCCAAAGGCAGACTTTCTTATGTCAGAAGTGAACGAAGAGAAAACTTCTGGAGACTTTAGAGAAATGGGATTAAGGCTTGCTCAGGAAGTAACTTCATTTGTAAAGAAGAAGATGGAGAAGGCCACAAGGCATGGTAATTTAAAAAGCATCAAGATTAGCTTTGTAGGTCATTCCATTGGAAATATCATATTAAGAACTGCATTAACAGGTTTGTTCTGTTCCCTATAGTGTTCTGGATGCCTCCAATCAACCTCATATATCTCAAAAGTTTGGTTTCTGCTTTTTGCAGAGAGCATCATGGAACCCTATCTCAGATATCTGCATACATACATTTCAATTTCTGGCCCACATCTTGGTTACTTGTACAGTTCAAATTCTTTGTTTAATTCTGGGCTTTGGCTTTTGAAGAAGCTCAAAGGCACCCAGTGCATTCATCAGCTTACCTTTACAGACGATCCTGATATTCAAAATACCTTCTTGTACAAGCTTTGCAAGGTACTTATTGGTCAGAAACATTTGTTTTTTCTCTTTTCCCCCACAAGTTGTACCAAACAACCATGTGTTCAATGTTATGTGCATTATAAGCATAGTTTAAAAAGGCGTGAGATGCTAAGAAAAGGTCCTTAAGGCTTAAGTCTTAGTTGGCTTAAACGAGGCTTATGACTTGTGGTGTCCGAGGCACGAGGAGTGAGGTTTAATGGCGTCAAGGCTTATCGACCTTTAGGCTTGATTTTAAAGAGTAAAATTGGAGTTTCACCATCTTAGTTGGCTTAAACGAGGCTTATGTCTTGTGGTGTCCGAGGCACGAGAAACGAGTCTTAATGGCGTCAAGGCTTATCGAGCTTTAGTCTTGATTTTAAAGAGAAAAAATGGAGTTTCACCCTTTTGAAGAGAGTGAGTTTTAAACTTGTCGGGCTAGCCTAACCCTTTCCTTTGGTTTCTTCTCTGTTTTATATTGGGGTTCGGTTCCTTTGGACACAAGCCTAGTCTAACCCTTTCCTTTGGTTTCTTCTCTGTTTTATATTTAACAATGAACCGTAGTCTCTTTCTTCCTTCGTCCCTTAGTGCCATACAGTCACAATCATAACAGCACGCCTCTTCATTTTTCTATCTTCACTGGAATTGCCGAAAACCGAGCAGTTCCTCAGCTACCACAACTTTCATATCTCATCTCTATCTTTCATGTCTCTTTCTTCCTTCGTCCCTTAGTGCCATACTGGCACAATCATAAGAGCACGCCTCTTCATTTTTCTATCTTCACTGGAATTGCTGAAAACCGAACAGTCCCTCAACTACCACAACTTTCATATCTCATCTCTAACTTTCATATCTCTTTCTTCCTTCGTCCCTTAGTGCCATACAGACACAATTGTAAGAGCATGCCCCTTCATTGTTCTATCTTCACTGGAATCACCGAACACCGAGCAGTCCCCCAACTACCACAACTTTCATATCTCATCTCCATCTTTCTGTAACCCCCACACACACGTATGCTTATATTCTGTTTTCATCCATTCACTTTTTCTTCTTTCTACTGCCTCCCTCATTAATCACCTCTGTACTCTGTAACTTTAATCCGTTTCTATGATGTAGCTATTGCTTTTGAAGACTAGTATTTAGGAATTCAGAATGGTAAGTTTAAGCACGGTCTAAGTTTTTTGTAATGGTTTGGCATGCATATTTCATCATTTTGTGTGGAATTGACTTTATGCTTTGTCTCTTTTAGAACAATACATGTGTTTTTGTTTCAGTTGTCAAGTTTATATGCCATTAAACTATCATTATAAGTGTTCTGTTTTATCTATTACGGAGTACGTCTTATTATTATGTTATTTATATTAATTGCCTTGATCCCCATTTTCTCCTCTCAAAACATTAACTATAAGACCTCTTCAGTTGCATTATAACTCTTCAGTTGTCCATCATTGAATTGTACGTGCTGTGCATTACTATACTTCTCTAAAACAAAGTTACGTAAAGACTTACTTTCGTGATGCAATTTAAGAAGTTTCAGAAACCTTTGTATAAATTGTTAAAATGCCTTAGTTCCAATGTCATCTTTGGGAACTTTCAAGGGGTCCTTATTGTTTATTACGAGCAAAAATTGATAACTCATGCGTCATTAGCAGCGGAAGACATTGGAGAACTTCAGGAATATTATCTTGTTATCATCGCCACAGGTATTCATTCTCTTCATTCCAAATCAATTGTGCATTTTGGATTCTTGGAGAAGAAGAGGGAGGGAGGGAGCAAATTTCTGACCTTCAGAACTGAGTTGCGATGCGTAGGACCGGTAGTAATTAATATTCATGCATAAACTGATGTGGTGGTGCTTTCAGGATGGGTACGTTCCATACCATTCAGCTAGAATAGAGATGTGCCAAGCATCCTCAGCAGACTCTTCAAAGAAAGGGAAGAGATTCATGGAGATGCTCAACCATTGCTTGGACCAGCTACGCGCACCGTCATGTGAGCACCGGGTTTTCATGCGATGCGATGTGAATTTTGATACATCCTTGCAGGGAAAGAACTTGAACACCATGATTGGCCGGGCTGCTCATATTGAGTTTCTTGAATCTGATTCGTATGTGAAATTCATAATGTGGTCTTTTCCTCAACTTTTCCGTTGAATGCTGCGTCTTAGGCGTGCGTGGTGGTTAACGGTTCCCTGAAGAATGATGATGATGATGATGAGACTCGGGTTTCCAGTTTCTAGGTACCGTTTATAGAATGAGATAAGGGGTATTACTCTCTTCACTGAATATTGTATCCTTCTCAGACAAAGAGTTTATTTAGCCTATCGGAGAAAACGATACAAATCTTATTTGTGTTTATTTTGGGAAATAGTGCAGTTAATTATTTTGCGCGGTTATAGTGTGATGTTAGGTAAGTAGTTGAAGAACAACATGCTTGTGCTGCCTCTTTATATTAAAAGTATAGGAATATTATCATGCTATGACTTGTATGAGTTTGGGGCTTTTGAGTTTTGCCTCGTGCCATAAACTGCCATTGACACTTTTATTATTATAAATGTAAATACTACTCGAGTATAAATAATGAGAAACTTGGTGTAGTAATGTACTTCATATTACGCTTGTCCGCTCTAAAATACTCCTAACTTTTATTGTTGTTATAATTATTGTTATTTGAAGGAATTGTTATTATCGTTAGTTATTATGTTATTCATTGAAGAAAATGAAGCTTTTCATTTGTAAATTAGCTAAATGGAACTTGCGTTAATTGAAAATAACTTTAATCAAATTTCGTAAGCAGACAATTTAAATTCAGAGTGAGTACTTATTTTATTTGCCCCCCTATTTGTCTCATTTCATATTTAGCCACATTTGTTCACAATCATTCTTATTTTATTTAGTACATACTTTTTAACATCAATATCAATCACAAATTTATTTATTTTTTGAGTAATTCATGCTCCTTCATGTTTCAAAAATAGTAGTAAGATAAAGGGAGCATAAAACATCTACGAGTACATTTGTCGCTCTGCACTTTGCTCGAAGACTTGTCGATGTTAGAGCATGCAATAAACATCTTTTATAATGGAGAGTAGTGTCTGAGGAGCATCGAACCATTGGACTTTGAAGAACATCCATAGGCTTCTATTCGCTAAACACCAGTCACTCTTCATTATCATTGAAAGCTCGATAAACAAAACTAACATGGAAAAACATACCAATGAAACACAAACAAAAGTCTCAAAAAGGACCAACAAAACACTCATACGAGAAACTACAAAAAACAAAATTTTCAGATTTAAAAGATTCGTTTACAACAGCTCAAAAGAGGATGCAGCAGCCCCAGAAGAAACTAATAGAGTTTGATCTCATTCCAAGTTCCACATACAGTATTAGACAAATGATATAGAAGCCATGTCAATACAATCTTACATTCATAAATTATAATCATCCAGAAACAAGAACTCGAATTTGAGTATTTTTAGGAAGTGCAATGAAATTAGCTACGGTAGTAGTACAGGCTCATTAATGTCTGTTTCAAGCTCATATTAAGTTTACAGAGTAGCAACGCACACATACAGATATTCTTCTTGCCCATAGAAAAAGCAACCAACCAACCATCAATGGCTGTCCGATCACAGAGACTCGGGACATGGTCGGATTCTAGAAGGCATCTGCAAACCTGCCCTTTGACCGCCTAAGCTTTGATGAAGTAACAAGTTTTTAGGAGTTATAGACATCTTGCTAAGGGTATTATCAAACTCCTCAAAATTCTCATTGCCACGGGCAGTCCCTGGAGCTATTATGTCTATGCCGTTCCCAGGTATACAGACTTCGACATCATCATCTTCATCGCTTGTGCATTCGTCTTCTTCAATCTCATCATATGCATTTCGAACCATTGACCAGTATACATAGTTTGGCCTAATAAACCTGTCGGCCTTCTTTAGCAAGCAGGGATCAAATGGGAAAAATGTATCCAGCCTCTGATACCCACCAAATGCTATTGAGTGTTCAGACTCCAGTAGACCGCCGACAGGGGCATCACTGTCAGGGAAACTAAATAAGCATGTGGCTTCAGCTACCCTAAGGAACTCCTCTACAATAGAGGGTAAACAAACCTGATTGAAAAATGAGAGAGATGATTACCACAATGATCAATTCAGGTTTATTCAATAATGTTTTGTGTGTTGTGTTTTCAAATTTAATTTTTTAGTCACGATTGTAAATTATGTGTGCTCGGTACATCTGTTTCGGGTTTATGGTCTAAGATTAATTTGTTATGAAAATATATGGTCTTTATAGAAATTCTACATGTTTCGTAAGCACGTCTCAAAAGGGAAAACATGCCTGACGAAATCAAATCATTATTGTTTCTAATATCCAATAACTTTCAAAATTATATTTCTGTTTTTCAGAAACAAAAAAACAAAACCATTCCCGCCAAATGTAGTTCAGTGTTTCTGCTTTTAGAAAAAAGTGAAAAGGGAAAACAGAAAACAAGTGTTAGCTAAAAACATCATGATGTTTCTTTTTTGTTAGGTTTCTGAAGAGTAACATAAAACATGAAAGGGCTTAAACCTGTCTTCTAGAAAAAGAAAAACAGTACAATTTGGATAACCAGTTTTTACCGTCAAAGGACTTAATGGATGCCTCAGAATATCCTCTATACGCATGCGCAGGAGTTGAGATTTGAGACGGAAGAAACTGTGAATGGACCCCCTTCGGAAGCAAATTATGTACATTATGGCCTTCAAGAAAGCAAAAAGATAAAATTAACTAAACATTATTTTCCCAGCTATAAGCAACTGATAAAGCCATATTTTTCAACTATCCATGAGTGTACTTGAGTACATGGCAGCACTGCATAATTACTGGTGGCATACCCATTGTTAGTGGTCTGATGGGGTTTTAGTTTACGTATCTAGACTATGAATTAAGAATAATGTAAAGAAGATAAATTTATATTATCAGAGACCAGAGACATGATAATATGCTCCGTCACACACAATTATGTTCAAAGAATAATTTGTCAAGATTGCTTTTCTATCACAAGCAGGATTGAGAGATGATGCATAAGATATAAATCCCTATATCTTGTTTTTGTCGACATTCATTTTGGTACAAGGACCAATGCAAAGGAAAGGAGGGTGTAGTCTTATCGCTGCCAGAGTTGCGATCAAAGACAAAGTAACCGCTTGGCACCATTGGTGTGTGTGTGTATGTGTGTGTGTGTGTGAGAGAGAGAGAGAGAGAGATGGACTTTGGTAAGGAAGGTTACTCATGTCTATGGGTGAGAAGCAGCGATTTCTGGCAAGGCTGCAATTCATATTTGGAGGGGGGGATTTAAATTTCGAAGAGGTGAGGAGGTATTGCTGTGTACGTACTACGAAGGCTATTCAAATTCTGGAAGAAGAACTACACAAACTCCATCCACTTTCTTTCGTCTCACTTTCCTTTTTGGGTTGTCCATTACTCCCTCCGTCCAAAATTAAAGTTCTCACTTTCCTTTTCGGTCTGTCCACAATTAATGTTCCCATTTTCTTTTTTAGTAATTTTTCTATATCAAAATGTCTAAAGTACCCTCCAAATCATATTTGTTTCCTTTTCTCCTTCCTGCCGCACCCACTCCCCATTTCTCCTTCTTTCTTTTTTCCTTTTCTCTTTCTCTCCTTTCTTCTTCTTCTCTCCTTTTCTTCTCTGTTTGTTCTTTTGCTCTTCTTTCCTTCTTCCTCTCTCTTTTTCTCCCCCCCCCCTCCGATTTGTTCCACCAACCTATTTTTTCTTTCATTTTTTCATCTTCTTCTTCTTCTTTCTTTTCTTCTCCCCCCTCCCACTCTTCCGATTTGGTCCAACCGCCCTCCATCTTCATCTCCTCTTCTTTTTTTCTTCTTTTCGATTCGATCGCTCATATCTTCGTCAGATCTTAGAAATCCAATTTAGATCTGTAAGGAGAGTATCAGTGATGAAGGATCTTCTTCATCTTCTTCTTCAAATCTTTTTCATCTTCTTCACATCTTCTATTCTTCCACCTTGGTGCGGGAACAACTCGATTTGGCCTGAAAGATGCCTATGATGATTCTAAAATATTCAGGTTGGGAGAAATTTCTCTTTGGCCGGAAATTTCATAGTTTTGGATCGCAAGACTTTTTTCTGGCCGGTTCTGATGGTTGGGCGGCGGTAATTTGGGCAGAAAACTGCAGGATAGGAATGGGTGGGGTAGTGGTAAAGTGGGGGTATTTTGGGAAAGTCAATGTAAATTTCAACTTTTATTAAACTCCGTGCCCGGTCAAAGCGGGAACATTAAATTTGGACGGAGGGAGTATTTTTTAACCAATTTCTTAAAATGGAAACAAAATAAAGTGTAAAGGACTCTTTTGCCCTTTGAATTTAGAGCTCACCCTCCCCCTCTATCAATCACAGTCGTAGTAGTCTCTCTTTTGTAATCGAAAACCTTTCATTGAAATTCTTTTTTTTCTCTGCCCAGATTTTGCCGTTGCACATCTCATCCCTGCCGCCGCCCGACGTCTACTGCACTGTGTCACCTCTGTATCAGTTGTCTTCCAACAAGTAGGAAGAGAGATCTTCCAAAGCCGGTGATGACAATGGAAAACAAGCCCAGGAGCTGTATATTCTTCCAAGGTTGGTGTCGATGGGAAAAGCTTTCGAGGTGTTCTTCTCTCCTTTTTTCGTCAACACACTCTCCCCCACCCCCTCCCTATCAATTTGTTCTTGCTCCTTCTTCTTCGACAACTCCTCCCTCTCCCATTCTTCTCTCCTTTCTCCTTCTGGCGGAACCTTAGGCTTGTTGAGGGGAATAAGCGAAAGGAGCGGCAGTGCGGCAAGATCTTGATGAAGAAGGCCAACAGGTTTGGTTTGAAGATAGAGCACGGAGGAAAACAGAATAATTGGAAGGGGATAATTAAAAAGTCAAAGCAGTTTACATCTTACATACAAAACCGTGCAAAGTCAAAGCATTATGTGTGTGTGTGTGTGTGTAAGATCAAATAAAAACATTTCATTCATAACAAAATGGATTAGGATTTTTAGAAATTAAATACAATTAATAACTACAGAATATAAATTAATCACTTACTTGACATCCCGCATAGAAATTCTTGTGAGCTTTAGGATTTGGATTAATCTCATCGGTCCTAATTTTGCTATAATTATAACACCAATTCACCAACCTAAAGCATCATAAGAAAGTAGACCACAAAAAATTATCAGAAACATAAGATCAATCCTTCCTTACACCATAAGGAGCACCTGCGACTAAGAACTTTGCAAGGGAATACATTTCCAAACAGTCAGCAACAAATGGCAAGTCCATAAACTTTGCACGTGCTAGGTAACTAGCAAGATAAGCGACAGCACTCATTCTGCACGAACCAAACACAACACTTCATAACCAAAAAGGGAAAAAAAGAAGAAAATAGAGGGGTGGGGAGCAACAATACAAAACAAGACACAGTCTATGTCATACCTCCATTCTAAATGGGCACTAGTCTCAAAAATATGAATGAGTGTAATCGCGAATCTCTTGCCACAGTTTTCGGGATCAAGTGAACAAGCATAGAACACAAGAAACTGAAAAATACATAAGATCACAATGACCACGAGTAAGATCCTCAATGCAAGGAAAAGATAGAATAAATTTATGTCTACCTGGGCAAATTTGGACTTGTATGCTGTCAAAACAGTTTTTTCGAAAGAGTGAAGTAGTGTATCAAAGATCTGCACAATGTCAGAAAACATACATAAGAGAGGAAGTACCAAAAAGATCTCAATAGTTTTTTTTGTGGGGGGGGGTATGCAAATGATACCTACCAGAGAAAGGCGACCACTCTCTTTGCAAGATATGAAGTATTCGAATGTGAGCACCATTAAACTATCCAACATCTGAGCACTTTTACTGTCCCCAAAAAACTTGTCTATCCAAATATCCCTTTCAAGCTGCAATACAGTATTTACATTAAATGTTAGAATAAATCTCGATAACAAGGCTTAGGCTCGGTTCTCTTCACCTTATTCTTCTTACTTATTACTTATTCTTATTGGAATCAAAGACCAGATTAGAAACAACTTCTCATTTAACAAGAACCAGAGCAGACCAGACCTTAATAAAATCACATCAGAACCAATGAGACCAGACGAAGAGAACTTCTCACTCATTATGTATTATAGAGAATTAATCTTTATGGTTGTATGCATATCTGATGTGTGTTGCAAGATAAACTATCCATCAAAGGTTGATAATCAACCAAAGAAGGATCCATGGGCTTACCTATGCTGCACAAACAGCAGTGAAGCTGCAAGGGCAGCACGAGTGCATGACCGTGGAAGGAAGAGAGAAGTTGGGTGGGATTTAGTTCCCATTCAACTAATTTCAATGCCAACTTAACTTGTATTTTTATCACCCCTATATTTAAAGAACATCGATAGAAATCATAAAAGGATAATAGTAGTTAAAAGGTAAAACATATGCATAACAATAATTGGAAATAATATATAACCCTATGCAAGGAAAAAGGCCTTATTAAATAGAATTAGTTTTCCTCGGTGGGCGGGGTTTGCTACTTGAGAAGGCACTAGCGGCCTACAAAATTCCGTCAGGTTCTCCGGGAGTACAAGGAAGCATTTTCATCAAGAAAACCTGCAATTGAACCAGAATCTCCAGAATACCCTTGTTCTAATGCTGACTGTCACTTTCCGGGGCTGAAGATCAAGCTTGCCCTGAAGCCTGTAATTTCCTAGGAAACATGTAATGGAATTCCGTCAGGTTCTCCAGGAGTACAAGGAAGCATTTTCATCAAGCAAACCTGCAATTGAACCAGTATCTCCGGAATACCCTTGTGCTAATGCTGACCTGTCGCATTCCGGGGCCGAAGAAAAAAACAACCTTCAGTAGTTGGAGGAACTAACGGAGTCAACTAAGGTGAGGTGGGCTTTGAGAAGGCTCATCTAGCACACATTGAGAAGCTCAAGTTGATACGCCAATCTCCACAAGCATCAAAAAATTAAATGGGCCAAAGAAACGTCGGCAATAAAAGGTTACACATATGTTGCGAACTAGCTTGCAATATGAGTGCTGCCACACAGATGTTAGCGAAAATGATTGGTGGTATTCGTGACGATGAATCTAAGATTTTAGTCGTGGAGCTTGGAGGTTGAAGAAGAAGAAATAGTAATGAGAGTAATGAGAATTTCTGGTAGAACCTACAGTTTAAGAACGGTGGTAAAGCTGCTTGAGCAGCACGAGTGCAAGAGGACGAGAGAAGCTGGGTGGATTTAGTTTTCTTCCATTTGATTTTAATACCAACTTAACTTGTAATATTGATCACCTCCATACTTAAAGAACATCAAATAGAGTTGTGAAAGGATACTACTAGCTAAAAATATGCATAATTAACCGAATTAATTTAGGGCGGGGGTTTCTCCTTACAATGACATCGATATAATTACAGAGAACGAATTAAGCTATAAGCGGGATTACCTCAAAACTATCTTGCTGGCCATCATCCATAGGTCCTTCTAGTTCTTCCAGCTCGGTGTCAAATATTCCTTTTGTAAAATCATCTTGCAAAATAGAATCCCATGGTATGTCCACCTGAAATGTGAGTGAGGGTATGTAAGTATGTGTGTAAGAGTGTGCATGCATAAATACTTATTTATGATACAACTTACATCCAAATCTACAACCCTATCCACAATCGCCACAAGCATGGTGCTCCCAATAAGTTCACCCAGCGGGCCACTATCCAATCTTAGCATGTTTTCCGCATAAATCACAATCTAACATGGACAGATGAACATTCAATAATACCTTCCAAATACTCAATGATAATATTAATAAATATTCTCTCTTTTCTCAGATGGCTAGAAGAATAATGTTCTCATCAAGATACACATGGATACTGATTATTAAAAAACAATGAACAAGTTTGTTCAGTATTATTCTGTTAATAAAATCTTTTCCAATCCATGTAGTCTTCTGAGAAACAAATAGACCTCATATTTGTACTAAAAACGCACCAACTCAAAAGGGAGAATATTTGGTCAACGTAGAACATAGGCAAACTCACAGGCCCCTTGTCACGAATCTTATGCATTCTCTCCTTAATTATCTTCTCGAGTCTCAATGGTGATAGTGGTACTAAATCAGCAATAGCTTTTAATGTTGAATGCACACGATCAAGGACTTGCCCCTTCCTTGCCTGAACCCTTGGATTATTTAGCAATTTCACAAAAGTTTCGGGTGGCACAAAATTGTTTACAAGCATTTCCAAGCATAAATCAACATACTGCCCACTTGATGCTGCCTGCAGGCATTGAAGTACTCATAGTCAAAACTCAAAAGCCAAAGTGCTAATAAATGGAAGGGAAAATGTTACCAATAACAATACATACCAAAGATACAACCAGTTCCATCAGAGCATCCATAACATCAGTCCCATAGTTCCACATCACTATTCGAAATACCTGTAGGCTATCCTTATGAGAGTTTTTTAGAGAAGATAATACTCCCTCCGTCCCAAAAAGGAACTCCCGCCTTCCCTTTTTGACTGTACCAAAATTAATTTCCCACTTTTATCAGTGCATGTTAAGGGTAGAAATATGTGGCTGATGGCACTTCTCTCTTCTAAACAAGCTTTAGCCACATATCTCTTAATCTCCACAATGTAAGGGCGAGAAACTGAGAATTCCTTTTTAGGACAGATGAAGTATATAAATCTAAAGGATCCCTTAACAAGATTTATCACTGATACGTACCGAAGAAAGAAGAGATCGATGGTGAACAATGTCTAAAAAAGAGACAGTTCCTGACAAAGCCTTTAAGCATGTCTTCCATACATATTGTTTAAAAATAAAAGATAAATGCATGATTAAGTAACATAAAAAGGAAAAAAATTTCATCATAGTAAATGTGGAATTAAAACCTACCACGAGTAATGCCACCTCCTCAGGTGATAACTGGTGATCACGATTTATGAGTCCAACAAGCTGAGAATACTTGTCCATGTCACCCTAAAACCAGCCAAGTTTGGTTATTAGAGAGAGAGCACATGATGGAATTTATGGCAAGCAAGGTCATATCAAATGTCAAAGGCATCACTAAATGTCAAATAATGGATAGTGAACCTATTGAAATTGGCTTCTAAGGAGAACCCTAATGTTACTCCTTATTGAATGAATTTGTTTAAAATTAGGAGTGGAAAACGGGAAGTGGAACAACAAAACTCCCCTTGTCCCAATTTATGTTGCTCATTTTGATTGGGTTCATAGAATAAGAAAGTGAAAAATGGTGTATCTGAGATTTATGCAGAGGAGAAAAAACGCTATAAAGGCATTATGCTATCTAAGTTTATAAAGATGGAAATTGGTGTGATGGATTGTGTCTGAATAAAAAAGAACAAATTTCAAACTCCACTTGCCAATAATCTATTTTTTTGGATACACGTGAGAACAAAGAATGAATGCAAGTCCACGGCATACCTTCCTTTGTGACACACAACCCCCCCCCCCAGAAAATTGTGTGAAATGTAGCAACTAGTATTGTGAAAAAAACCAACGTCAAAAATCCATTCATAGAATTTTCATACACACATGCATATAAACATATAAACACAGGCACACAAATATGACTAAAACAAGCATGTGATCAGTCCGTGCAAAGGAAAGAAGGGAAAAGAAGAATAATTACAAACTAACAATATGATACTCCCTCCGTCCCTAAAAGATGTTCCTATTTCATTTGTTGCGCATCACATAAAACACTTATATCCCGCCTTAAATGCCAAAAAAAATTCAAAACAACTTCTACCCACAATAAAGGAGAAATGTTGTAAATTTTAGGCATTTTAGATGTGGTTAGAAGTGTTTTATGGGATGCGCAAAAAATGAAACAGGAACAGCTTTTTGGGACAAAAGGAGTATATCTGAGGGAAAAAGTAACAATCTTTTACATTATTGGAATAAGAAAGAAAGAATAGATTATCCATATCACGAGATCAGCTGGTTCAGAGGCACGAAAGGCAAGAATAGCTGTTCAATGTCAACCATATTATTGTAACAGACACTAACAACACATTTTGCAGATGCACACCACAATCAAATGTTTAAAGAAATTTAAGCATACATAAAAATCATTTCGAACATATATACCTGGATAGCAGATTTTAGGGCATCCCTGACATGATATACCAGCTCTGAATCAGAAAGATCAACACTCTCAATCTCTAGCATAGCTACTTGTTCAGAAGCTAATTGCACCCCCATTTATCCCAATGTATACAATTAAAGACTGCACCAACTCTAGTGCTTCGATCTATATGAAAATGAATCTCCAATTAACATGTATAATCTGCAAAAGCAAGCATTTAGACAAACAAATGCTTGAATTCTTTCAAAAACAGGTGTCGTCCGACCGCTCACTGAGTAGCCACCGTCGTCCAGCCGCCGATCCGTCGCCGTCCGCAGATTGTCTCCGTCTGGAGAAGGTGCAGCCGCTGACCAAAGCCGCCGCTGAGGAGTCGTCCAGCTTGCCGCTGCGGTTGCCCAGTATTTCCAGCCGCCGCTTCTGCGAAGAGGAAGAGACCACAGAAAACGAAAGGTGCGAAAAAAAACGAAAAGAGAGAGGCAGTGGTTTTCTCCATTGGTTTGGGCCGCAGTTTTTTTTGGGTGGGCCTTGATATTGGGCTTATTTGGTTTGGACATATTTAATTAGTGTGGTGGGCTTGATTTTCTAACGAAATTACCAAGATCTGAAATTAGTTGTACCGGGTATCTCGTCTAGTCGTGTGATATGGCAGAAGATGGGAAGTTCCGAATTGAGAAGTTCGATGGTACAGATTTCAGTTGGTGGAAGATGCAAATTGAAGATTTGCTGGTTCAGAAAGATTTGGACGTGGTTTTGGGTGACAAGCCAGAAAAAATGTCGGATGCAGATTGGGCAAGTTTGGATCGGAAAGCTATGTCCGTGATTCGTCTCTCGTTGACCAAGAATGTTGCGTTCAACATTCTGAAGGAGAAGACAACGAAGGGAATTATGGAAGCGCTGTCTAATATGTACGAGAAGCCATCTGCAGCTAACAAAAATTTTTTGATTAGAGAGCTGGTGAATACAAGGATGAGAGAAGGCACTTTAGTTACCGAGCATATCAACAAGTTGAATTTGATCTTAGCCAGACTTGCGTCAGTGGGCATCAAATTCGATGATGAAGTTCAAGCTTTGCTACTGCTATCGTCTTTGCCTGATAGTTGGTCCGGAACGGTTACAGCGGTTACCGGTTCAGTGGGACCTGATGGATTCACCTTTGATCAGATTCGAGATCTCATTCTTGGCGAGGATGTCAGAAGAAAGAGTTCAGGAGAGTCATCTGGTGAATTACTTCATGTTGGTAGAGGCAGAAGAAATAGCAGGGGTAGTGGGAGCAAGAACAGACAAAGGAGTCAGTCGAAGACTCGTGACAGCTCAGGTGTAACGTGCTGGAAATGCAAGGAGGTAGGGCATTTTAGGAATCAATGTCCGAATGATAAGAAAGTAAACATTGCTCAAGGCTCTGCGAGTGACGAGGAGGTCGCTCTGACTTGTTGTGAGGAAAGCAATGTGGATTCCTGGGTCATGGATTCTAGTGCTTCATTTCATGCTACCCACAGCGGTGTAGCATTGCAGAATCTAGTTTTTGGAGACTTTGGAAAGGTACGACTAGTAGACGACAGAGCTCTTGAGGTGACGGGCATGGGTGACATGGTGTTGAAGACCCCAGTCGGTTTCTGGACTTTGAAGGATGTCAAAGTTGTTCCAGCCTTGAAGAAGAGTTTGATTTCTGTTAGGCAGTTAGACGAACAGGGACACGAGGTGAAGTTCAGAGATGGGCAGTGGAAGGTTGTGAAGGGAAATCTTGTCATGGCCCGTGGAAGGAAGAGAGGTTCGTTGTATATGGTCGAGTTACCATCTGAGGGAGTGACCGCCCCAGTTCAGAAGAAAAACGAAGTCCAGTTCACAGAGTCTCGTGGACAGAATAAGGTTGTCTATGCAAGAGAGAAACCTAGAGCCACAGGTCAGACTCAGGATGAACGAGCGTGGAAAGGTTTAAGGGGGTCAGTCAGAGGTGTTTATGGCAGTGGGAGCTCAAGAGGCGCTTCAGCCAAGTTGCCTAGAAGACAGTGGGTCAGGAGAACCAGTATTCCAGCTGTTGGAACATCTCCAGAAAATTTCTTGCTGAGTATGGAGAGTGTTTGTTCTCAGGATGTTCCAGGATCCGGCAGTCGTCTGCAGTGGGAGCCGGTAGGGACCGAGGACGAGTCAGGGGCAGATTTTTCCGTGACTGATGTGTTGGAGCTTGGGAGAGCTTCAACGGGCCTTTCAGTTATCTGATGTTAGGGCCGCTGCAATAGGAGAGCTGAGGAAGATTACTCGATGTACAGGGAATCGTGGTGGATGGCAGTTGATGACTATCAAGCCTCCGAGTGGGAGAATGTTGGGTTTGTGGAGGCTTGGGCTTGACTTTTGGTCCGGCCCATTTTACGAAACCCTAGATGCACTCTTCCTATATATATATATATTGCATTCTTGTACTTGTAATCGATACCACAAGTGAAATAAGAAAATCCTCCTGTTGCAGCCGTGGATTAGGGAAACCGAACCACGTTAAATTCTTGTGTGTCGTTTGTGTTCCGTTTCTCTCTTGATTCTTGCAGATTATTTGCGTGTGTTGTGTGTTTAATTACTCAACAACTTGTTCAGAAGCTAATTGCACCCCCATTTATCCCAATGTATACAATTAAAGACTGCACCAACTCTAGTGCTTCGATCTATATGAAAATGAATCTCCAATTAACATGTATAATCTGCAAAAGCAAGCATTTAGACAAACAAATGCTTGAATTCTTTCAAAAACACACTATCATAAGTAGACCAGTCAAATATGTCGGGCTAGGTAAAATTGGATTCAGGTATCAGGTCAGGTAATTTCCAGATGTGGTTATACGCTGTTGAACCTTGAAAACAAATTACCAGATTTACTGCGTTCGAGTCAAGCCAAACAGGTTAATGATATATTCTAGTATTCTACATTCAAATTGGTTTACTGATTTCATAGCCACTTTGGTAGTTAATTACAAATAATGACAGTACCTCGGTCCTCTCATTAAAATTATTTAATGAGAGTACTCTTAGGCCTTAAATAGTTTTTAATGAGAGGATTGGAATTCAGTCATTATTTTCAATTAACTACGGATGCTTTAGTGATGGTTTAATTTGTACTCACACTAAAAAATATTTTTCTTTTAGTGATAGCTAGCAGGGGTAGGTACAAGGCCGGTCCTTAGAATTCTTGGGCGTGGGCCGAAACATAAAAAAAATCCTAAAAATCTTATCCCTTATGGTCTAACAAATTAACACATGTAAACCAATTATATCCAAATAATAATTAACGCAATATTATTAGAAGAAAAAATAAATTAATATATCCTACATTCATATCAATTCGTCAATTTTTCTATTTTTTCTATTAAATTTAATTTTTTTATATATCATAAAAAAATATTAATTTTTTTATATATCATAAAAAAATATTAATTTTTTTATATATCATAAACCAATTATATTTTTAGTTTTTATTTTTTTTTTCAATTTTCAGTTTTTATATATAAAATTATAAATATATCATAAATTCAATTCAATTCATCCAAATCAAATAAAGAACATATGGAACTATTAATTCATTCTATTTCATAGCAATTAGCAAAGAGTTCAAATTAAAAATTAATAATTAACTCTAGTTAAATCTAAAGAACGAAAAAATGAAAGAAAAAAGTTACAAAATTGGAAAGCTACAAATACGGAATACCTGGAGGCTGTTGGCTTGGCGCCCAGCGGCGTCTGGACTCTGGCGGCGACGGCGTCACTCTATCGGCAGTTTTCCGATTTGGCTATTATGTTCAGTCGACCTCGCCCTTAGGCCTTCTCGCGATATTCGCTAAAGAGACGGGCCTTGAAAACTGGGCTTTGGCCTCTTAAATTCATGGGCCCGGTTCAGATTGACTATTTGTCCCCTATTGGGCCGGCCTTGGGTAGGCATACTCCGTCGGAGTATTTTTTTACTTTTTTACTTTTCAGAACCTTCAATGCAATATTTTGACCATCAATATTTTTATTTATGTTTCACCATCCGTCCAATTTAATCTTTCCATTTGAATTATCTCGGTCTCAAATGTAAAACTTTGACCATTAATATTGTTATTTATATCAAAACATATTTTATAACAAATTAACCTAAATAGTTCAAAATGACACTCTTGATACTCCATTTTATGTAAACAACATTTTTTTGCATATGAGGTCAAAGTTTATATACTTTGACTTAGAAAAGTCAATTTTAGAAAAGTCAATTGAAAAGATTACTAGTAAATATGGACAAAAGAAGTACAATCATAGATTATAAAAATATGATATTGTAAAATTATGTTTCAAAATGAATCTAGTAACATTAAATTTATACTCCCTCAGTTCAAAATTAACACATGTAAACCAATTATATCCAAATAATAATTAACGCAATATTATTAGAAGAAAAAATAAATTAATATATCCTACATTCATATCAATTCGTCAATTTTTCTATTTTTTCTTTTAAATTTAATTTTTTTATATATCATAAATTTATATCAATTCGTCAACTTTTTAGTTTTTATTTTTTTTTTTCAATTTTTAGTTTTTATATATAAAATTATAAATATATCATAAATTCAATTCAATTCATCCAAATCAAATAAAGAACATATGGAACTATTAATTCATTCTATTTCATAGCAATTAGCAAAGAGTTCAAATCCTTTACTATAATATTTGAGACTCGTCGCACAGAATTTTGACATGTGGTGGGTCTACTTGACATTTTTAACAAGTCATCTGCCACGCATTTAAAAACCGGACCAGACCGAACCAATCGATATGGATCGTGAACCTGAACCGATAAGAATCGGCTTTTTTTCTTGCGATTTTTTTCCAAAACATGCCTTTGTGGGGGTTTGAACCCAAAACCTCCTAGACATTTGATTGAGTTTCTAGCCATCCAAGCAAGGATGATTTTTGTTACAAGTTCACATAACCCTTTATAATATTTGATAATTAAAAAAAGATTGTATAAAAATTCCTTCTCAATTTTAAAAATATAAGCTTTATATATAAAATTTGAGAGTTGGGCTTCTAGAATTGTGACATGTGGCGCGTTTATTAGACAATTTTTTTAACATGTCAGAATTCCAAGTCATCAAGTTATATTTAAAGAATTAGTTAACAAAAAAACTTATTTAATGGAAATTAAATTTCGTATTTATTACATATAAATTTCTCAGCATAATTGCATCTAAAAACTTTTATATCTTAATTCATTGTTGGAAAATATTTAAATTAAATAATATATTTTGAAATTGAAAAAAGAACTCATATTCAAAAACAATAATCAAAATAAATAAATTTATTCTAAGAACCGATAGATTGGTAGGGCTAAAAGAACTTACATATGAATATTTTTTTACTTTGAATAAAGAGAAACAAATATATAAAAGAAAAGGGATTTTTATGGGCATGTTTATTTCATAGAGCAATAATTTTATATCGTATATGTTAAAAACATTCTAAGTCAAATAACAGGTATGTTCCATTTTAAAATTAGTATTTTCCATTTTTAAATTATTATTTTCTATTACTAACTTTGTAAATTTTAATCCTCCTTCCTAGGCAGTGTTTAGTGGGCTTAGGTTTTATTTTGGTAGGTAGTAAAGCAAACATGTACATATGTATTGCTTTTGCAGTAGGTTTATTTTTTTCGTTTTTTATACAAATAAATAAATATATATAATATTTTATATATAAAAACTGGGGCCCCTTCTAATATTCGGCCTTGTAGCTATGACCACCTTGCCCCTAGCATTAGCCGGCCCTGGTAATATTCTTGCTTATTTATTCATTTGACCGTCGGCAGCAATGTAACAAATATTAGTGGATAATAAAACTTTTTATGTTTAAAGCTTTTTGATAAAAATATTTACAATACTTAATTTATGATGGTTATTACACATACAGAAAGAGAGAGGTCGTCATCGGCTATAACCTTGCATCATCGAACACGTTCGAGAAAGAATGTACTCTATGATGTGACAAATGATGTTTTTATGATTTAGAATTAAATATTTAATTTTTTCCCAAAAAAAATCTTTACAGTGCTCCGATCCGGGAATAATTACACAATTCATCATGCTTTTAAGTGCATAAGAGACAGATGGATCTATCTTCTATAACACATGTTTTAATTTCTTTGAAGATGATAATAAAACAAATATCTTTGTGTATTAACTAACTCTATGTATAAAATCTTATAAACAATGTAAGAAAGTATTACGTAAATTAATATGATGGATGCACTCGAGGTTGAATTTTCATCTCCCATGACTAAAATTTGTAACCTTTAGAGATCAAAAAAAAGCTAAAAGATATTGTCAAAGAAAATGTTGACAAAGCTTCAATGTTTGAAGCTTGGATGATTTCCAATACACAATATAATGCGGGATAAAATTTGATGTATGTAAAGAATTTCCCGATTTTTTTGTGTACAACCATAAATTAAAGTGTGAAAATGGTTCCGATGCAACAAAGGTCATCAATAGGCGACAAACTACAATACGTGCTTACGAAAACCAGAGAGTTGTACTATTAACTGTCCAGCGAGGATGTACAAGCTATTAGAGCTTGAGGAGAGTTAACAATGTTCTACATAGCGTATTTGAGGCAACATGTGAAGCATTGAGGTTATTAACAGATGATAAAGAACTTATTGAAGGTATAAAAGAGGTTGCTAAGTTAGGATTTAGGAATATGCTAAAATGTTGTTTGTCCACGTACCATGAGTCACCCATAAAGTGTTTTGAAAAAATTATTGGAACTCTTGGTGAATGGAATTTTATTTGATCGAATGAGCACTACAAAAGAAACGCGGAATTGGCACGGCTTTTTGGCATGGACTGTAGTTTAAGTTTTCCGTGCCTAAAGTATTAGGCACGGACACGAAACGCTGCCAATTTCGAAGCTCCAAACCGTATGGCACGGAAATCTCGTCCGTGCCAAATATAGAGACGGCGTCACTCGTGACAAAATCGTTCCAAATTGACGGTTGTAAGAAAAACGTTAAATATATTAGGCACGTGTCAAAATTGTGTTCTTACAAATATAACATAAGTCACGGATATATCCGTGTCTTTATTTTGAAAATTTTCAAAACATTCAAAAATTTTCAAAAAATTCAAATACGCGGGGAGATTAAATTTCGAAATTCAAATATTTTGCCACGGACATATTCGTGCCATGGATTTTAAAAATAAAAAAATATTTTTTGCCACAGATTTATCCATGCCTTAGATTTTGAAAAATTAAAAAAAACAATTTTGAAAATAAAAATTAATAATACATAACAGGCCATAATTCAAATACAGAATAAATCACTCACAGCATAATAATGTAGATTAATAAAAGTAATA